GATAGACAGTCTTAATAATAGGAACGAGTTCTTTGTGATCATTGATCCGAACCGATAGCCATCCGCCAAATATTTTATCAATTCTGGAACTCTGACCGTCGCCTCCACCCGATTGACCGTCATTTCCCCCATAAGGAGCGCAAACATATCGAATCACATTCTCTGTATTCTCTTTCAAACAATCTTTTGCTAATTCATCGATTGTTATGTCATTGATATTTGAAGCCAAAGATGAGCTCAAAATAAAATCGTTATCATTCTATTTAATGAGAAAATGCATTATAAGAAATGCAATTTTTAAAAAATAGTCAAACCTTCGAGTTTTGGAAATTATTTTCTGTGTTATGATTCCTAACTTGAACTTCAATCAGATCGACATAAGCGCCAGAAATAACCTGTTTTCCGGTCTCTTTGATAAAACTTTGAAAATAAATTCGGTTCCCTTCTCTCCACATCTGGGTCTCAATGGTTTGTCCGGGAGTTACGGGTCCAACAAATCGGGCTTTAATTGCCCGGAAGTTCTTCACATCATATCCGGCAAATTCACGCAATACATGTCTCATTGCAAACCCCATTGTACACAAGCCGTGGAGTATAGGACTTGAAAACCCTATTCAATATATTTAAAAATTTCTATCACCGAATAAAATGCTATTTAATTAACTCAAACCTCCGGCCGAAGCAAACATCGGGTCGATATGAAGAGGATTTTTGTCACCACAGAGACGATATATAGCAGCCTATTAACGAATAAGAGTTATATAGGAAACTAATTTAATACGGTAGTTACTACTTTGTAGTAACCAAAGCCAAAACCTGATCAATTGAAGTTTTCTCCGAAACAATGGCATCGGGCTGTCTGTTAGGCGCCGAAACAATAGGCTTAATATTGGTGTCGTTACTCATTCTTTTGCCCCCAAAATTTCCCGATCCGACCATAAATAGCGACATTTGGTTGTAGAACACAAGCGATTGGTTTTCATCAAATGTCTCAACTAATTATTTACACAAATTAGTATATGTTTTAAAAATAAATGCAAAAAACAATACTTCCTATAATGAGGAGAGCGCCCGAACCCTTGTCTAACACATCAATAATTTTTGGCACTGATGTTAGGGTTGCGAACGAAGGGATGGGTTTAACGAGTTCTAAATATTGTTCGCCGTGTATTAACTTTTGCATTAAATAAATTGAATATAATTTCGTATTAAATATATGTTAACTTAAATATCCATAAACAGATAAATTAGATAATATTTACTTTAGTCATATCGCCGCTGATATTATGGGCTTTTAAGGCGTCGTGTAATACATTGCTTTCAGAAAAGGCTTTTAAACCAATAACTGCTCCAAAACTGGGAATTACTGAATATTCATCATTACATTCATAGAGAAAATTCAGATGTTTTGGTTCACGAGTTGAGAGACCGACTAATTTAGACAATTATATTAAGAATAAGTTAGCATTCAATTACATAAATGTAGAATTAAACTAAAATCATTACCAGAGAGTGCGTAAAGGATAGTATCGTCAATAGTATAGCTATTAGTAACAGAAGTGGTCGACACTTCGCCAATATTATTCTCTTCACTTATTTCCTTAATTGTATTCACAAGACTTAAAGTGTGCTCTAAATATATAACACAATTAATGTAGACATTGATTACAAAAATAATTCAAATATACCGTATATTAATATAAATACCTTGAAATGAATTAAAACTATTGGCTTTATTCATGTCTGTTATTTGAGGCCAATAGTCACGAACGGCTTCGGGAGTGAGAGTATTGGGCGGAGCAAACACTTTACCGTTTGATCGCTGCCAACGATATTTGCCAATATAACCGCCGGCCGTCTCGTAAACACCGCCGGTCTCGGGACACGACTCGTGTGACAACCAGACCACTAATGGCGCCACATATGAAGGCTTGAAGTAATCCATAAAATCTGAAATGTTTTATACAATTATAGCAAACTTTAAGTGATTAATAGAAAACAAGCCATACTTTCGGGAAATATATCTTCGGTGAGTCGGGAAGCGGCGACCGGTGCTATAGAATTGCACTTAATGTTATACTTGGCCCCTTCAACGGCTAATGTATTGCTTAGTCCAACTAAACCGAGTTTTGCTAAACAATGTGAAAATTTGCAAATATTTAATATTTCAAAGCTCTACACAAGAGATGAATTGAGTTCTTTACCGGAACCGTAATTCGTTTGACCGAAGTTACCATAAATACCAGCCGGAGATGTAGTCATAATAATTCTGTAAATTAAATATTTGGCTCATTTATGAACACAACGATAACTTTTGTGGTTTTTCCCAAAACAATAGGAAAACTTATGTTTAATATTCTCACAATTTATGACTAGAAATGATGTGCAAAGCGTTTATATTAATAGCATTTAGTTTGCAGAAGAATTTATTTTTACTAAACCTTCTAATAGTCGTGAAAATATTAAATTTCATAATATTTAGCGGTTTTGCAACAAAAATATTTGTCAAATAAAAGTCTGAATTCATTGCACAATATTTTAACAATAAATTAATAAAGTGGTAGAAAATAATAGTAAATTCAAATGTGGACACAAACCGGCCGTATTTCTGTTGCTGGAAGTAAGGCCACGCGGCTTTCGTCACTATGAATGAGCCCCGTAAGTGTACCGCATGTACTAAATCTATTAAGGTATATGTTATTTAATATAATCATCGTTGAACTGCCGCTTTCCAAACAATACCCCAATCCTTTTGTGACAGTTTCCCAAAAGACTTATCACGAAGTATTCCCGCGTTGTTTATAACAATATCTAAGTTTGAGTACAACTCTTGTAATTTATTGTATACAACCAAATGAATGAATAAATAAATGAGAGAGAGAGAGAGAGAGAGAGAGAG